TAAATGTTTATGAAAATTAATAAAATATAATTATAGAAGAAAAATAAAAATTGTCTATGAATGGCATCAGAAAAGCTATTCATTCTTAAAATTGGAAAGCAGTATCCATTACTTCTTGCTTTTATTACTACTAAATTTCTTTGTTGCTGAGTAAACAAATTTTTGGCTTACTTGTAAATTATCTTTCCAATTTGTATGCAAAAGATCCTTTCTAAACTAGAAAAAGATTTAACAAATTGTATGCTCAAAGAGTCTATGGATGGTTAAGCATTTGATCACTGACCAGAAAGCTGGTGGTTTGAACCACTCAAAAGTGCCTCCAAAGATAGGCCTACCAATTTGTTTATGAAATATCATATCAATGCCTGAAAACCTTATCATTTCTACTCCACTACACATGGGTTTGCCATGAGCCAGAACTGTTTTAATGGCAACTAACAACCCAACTTACTGTAAATCCTTGTGGCCCTCCATCTTTTACGTGATAAATCCCACTACCAGCTTGAAACAGAAATGTTCCACTTCCTTGGTGATAATCATAAGAAGCAATTCCAACTGTTCCAATTCGTTTTCTTTCTCTTAAGAGTTCTTCTTCTCGGGAATACATTCCATAGTCCAGGGTTGCCTGACATAACAAAGGAAATAGCTGTCACGTATTTTAGGCTTCTGAAAATTTGTGGGATTAAGAAATAAGACAATTATGAAATCTTGCTAATAACCTACTTTGATGTGAAATTATAATCAAAGTCATGAAATGTAACGTACATGAATTGTTGAATGAAAACCAAAATTGTTCTGTAAACTTTCATGCAAATCAAAATTAAAAAGTTAATCTGAAAAAAACCCACCTAGTTTTATCTCTGAAAAGCTGAGGTACACAGGTACATACATGAAACCAGACACACATACACATATACATAAATACTTAATTGAGTTATATTTACTAATGTTTAATTATAAACATATACATGTGTATGTGTGTTAAGCTCTACTAGAAGAAACTGTAAATTTATTGACTGGAATTTTAATTGATTAATTCTGACCTTTTTGTTCTAACTACCTCTTAAGGCTCTTTCCAACTGGAGTCTAAAGCAATTCTGATTATGTTGTTTTATCAGACTGTCCTCTTTTATTCTCCCTAAGAGTTACCAGACTTGATCTGTCCTTAAAATGTCTTAATATTTTATAATCAGAACACAATTTCAGAACTAAGAAATTAACATTCACGAAAGAGCTCTGAATTTATAACTCTGTGATTACAAAATGTATTATATGAAAGAATAAACAATCAATATAATAAAATGAACCTTGCAAGGAAAATAGATTAACTGTATGGAACAATCATTATCAGATATTACAAATTAAATGTTTTATAATAACACAACCTTGGTACACGAATACAAATAAAAGCCAACAGAAATATCAGATCCAAAACAGAAAGCCAAATACAAAAATTATTAAGAAAAGGATGATATGGAAAAGATGGAATTTTAAAAATCAGTTAGGGTGAGAATGCTGCATAGCCATATACAAAAAGATAAAACTGGATTTACTCCTAACATAGTCTAAATAGATTAGACATGCAAAAAAAAAATCTGACTTTGCCTCCAGCTACTGTAGAGTAACAACAACCAGAAGTCTTTCTGACTGGAGGAGATGTAGCTGAGAACAAGACACCTATAGTTTGCAGAATAAAGTAATGAGTAGTAGAAAGCACAGAAAAGTCCAGAGTAGAGAAGTTATCAAGTATTCTGCATGATGAGTGTGTGTATGACAAAATGACCAGAGGACTGGGAAGGAGCCTCTGCAAAACACTGAGGAAAGAGTACTGTTTTCACACAAGTCTGGACTAGGAAACTTCCAAATTCAAGTATATTGGCTAAGGGAGATCTGGGAACCTAGTGGCAAGAAGATATGCTGCAATCCTGAAGGCACGTGGTTCGAATCCAACAGATGCTCTGCTGGAGAAAGAGGGGCAATCTCCTCCTCTGTCAGATCCCATTCGACGGTACACAATAAGGGGAAAGAAAAAAACAGATACTGGCTAAGGTACTCAGAAGACTCTGTCATGGATAGTGAAGAATAATCCCTCCCTGCTCTAGAATAACAACCAACTCATAGCTGACCCGTCAGCAGGTTTTCAGAGGCTATAAACTGCATGGGAGGAAACTACATCTTTCTAGTGTGGAGCAGCCGCTGGATTTGAAACACCTGTCTTTAAGTTGGCAGTGCAATTCCTGTTGGGCCAACAGTGCTCCCAAAGTTAAGAATATCAAGTTTGTATTAAATATGACTCTGGTCCTAAACAAATCTTAAAAATTGGACCCATAGGAATCAAACTGTTTTTAAGTAACTCAATTGGGCCCCAGAACAAATCTCAAAAATATCTGTGTCCTGGAACAAACCTCAAGGAATACAACAAACCCAATAATGCAACATGTCATTTGAACATCTTCTCTAAATTTGTAACTATTTAACTAGAAAGCAAAGATGTCACTTTGAAGACAAAGTTGTACTTGACCCAAGAAATTGTCTTTTGCTTCATCTGAAATGCAAAAGGTGGACAAAGAAAGAAGAGCAAAGATGAACTGTTACATTTGAATTAAGGTGTTGGTGAAAAATATTGATTATACCAAACAGTGGAGAACAATGAACAAATCTACAAAAAAATAGAGGCAGAATGCTGTTTAGAAGTGCGAATGGGTGGACCTAGGGGAGGATTTGTAAAACAATGAGAAAATTTTTCTTTTTACTTTTCCAAGAGGGTAGTGTACTAGGGGAGAGGGTTGGGAGGGGAGAAAAGTGCAACAATGAATGAATGGAAATCTAAAGTCTCTGTAAATTTTTACTAATAAATTTAAATTAAAAAAAAAATAAGTGAGAATGGGGGAGGGGACTGTATAACAATGAAAGAACTTTTTTCCGCAAAGCAAAAAGCGATCTAGGGGGGAGGAGGACAGGGAGGAAAATATGTAAGAATGAACGATTGGAAACTCAAGTTCTTTATAAACTTTCATTAAAATCTCAATTAAAAAAAATTTTTTAAAAACCCCAAAACAGTGAGAATATTAAGACCTCATCATATGTACTCTAGACAAATTATTAAAAGGAATCAGTCCTTGGCACCAGATGCTCTACTGGAGAAGGAGGGGCAATCTCCTCTTGTACCAGTCAGATCTGATTTAATGGTTACACACACACAAATAATTTAAAAAAAAAAAATTAAAAATAAAAGGAATCAGTCCTTAGAGAAGGACATCTAGTTTGGCAAAGGAGAAAACTCATTGCTTCTGAGGCTATAAACACATGGTAGGAGGCTGTTCATCTTTCTTCTAAGGAGTTGCTGGTGGATTTGAACTTTTAGAGTGGTTTGGTCCTTGGGTTATCAATGCAACTCACTACAGAAACCCCTACCATGGCTCCCTGGTAAAGGAGAAGGTCAGTGAAAAAGAGGAAGACTCTCTACAAGATAGACTGACACAAGAGATAAAACAATGGGCTTAGACATAACAATGACTGTGAGGATGGCAAGAACTGGGCAGTATATTATTCAGATGCACATGGAGTCATTCATTCAGGGGCATCTAACAAAAGTAACTGAAAACTCTTCAGGAGGTATAGAGATACAACGATAAAGTAATTAAGATGAATTTAAATTGTAATATTCCTTAGTTTCACATATTGAGAATTAAATTTAAGGATCACACATGTAAAAACTTAACAATGTTTTAGTTCCTTTTGATTTACATCTACTTTAAAAACAAAATCTTAACTGAATTTCTGCTTTCAAAACACATCAAACCACAGGAATTGCACTATTTAATCTTACCTGAAAAAGATCCAAAAGAGGCTTCCAAGAGAGCATTAAGACTGCTGCTCTGTTTACAGATTTGGGTATTTCAGAATAAAACAGTGTATTTTCCCTGTTCTCACCAGACATAGCTGTAGGAAATATAATAAGTGTATTATTTTGTTAAAGTAGTATTCTTGCTACAATCATAGCAGAAAGTTCATAATGCCTTCTGTATATTACATTATTTTACACTCTATAGGAATGAACAGATTTTATAGAAAAATGCTCAGATTTCACTTTGACATTAGATCTTTGTCTCTCTATATAGCCCAAAAAAGCAATATTTTTAGGAAATGTCGAAAATTGTTGGTCCTTTATAAGTTGTCAAGAAACTCAAGAGAATTCAAGTAGGGCAATCTGAAAACTTGGGATTACTAAAATCCTTTTTCTGAATCACTTAAACATACTTGTTTGGATACACACACGGGAGGGGGTGTCTGTGTGTGAGTGTGTATGTGCCTAACTGAACACTAGCTATTCTTAATTGTAAAAGTTCTAAAATTATAATAATTACGAAGTCCTTTTAGAATTTCAAATAAAGTATATTCAAAATAATGTAAAATGTGATGTTAGAGTTCCTTAAAAACCTCTACTCCTTTATTGTGAACAAAAGAAAAATGTCAGGTTTATTATGTGAAATCATCCTGTAACTGAAGGAGAGATAATAGAAGCATAAAATAAGCTACAAAAAAAACCACAAAAGCAAAAGGTGGAAAACTATCACTTTTAAAAAGTTGAGTGAATAAAAGAGAAAATATAACATGTTGAAAAAAGAAACTGTCTCTGGGGTGGAAGAGATCCTACACCTAGTATTTCTGAAGACTAGTAAGAGCCTATTGAAGGATCTGTAACTCCCATACTAACCCCTGCAAAAGCTGGCACAAGCTCCCAAATTTCTACATGTTCCTTTATCCTATTTGCTTCAGCTTCTAATTTTTCCTTATATTTTCTATACTGTAGACTTCAATAGGTAGTTTCATTCCTTTGCTCATATCCCTTTGCATACTATGACTCCAGGGCCAATTTGAAGGCCCTAAAAACAATCTACTGGTTACAGAATTCTGAGATTGCCCATCTAGTCATAACATGCATAATTTTACAAAAGTAATCATATTCTCAAGTCTTCTAAGACCCTTCAGGTCTCAAATATGAAAAACAAAACAAAAAAGGAGATTCTCTTCAATCGACAATAAGCCTCCCCTCATAATCATTTCTGTTGGCCCTTTTCAACACTGCTCTTGGATTCATAATATTTTCTTGGCTTTATCCATGACAAATTAAAACTTGCAAAGCATTCTAGGTATTTTTACACCAAGTCTGTATAAGCACAAAATGGGCTTTCCTTATGTTTTAGAGCTTTACGAACATCAATTAATAATTAGTTCCAATGTGATAAAATGTTTATTATACTGCCTGATATAATATGAGCATTTCTTTTAATTATGTTAAGTTTAAATACTTAGATAAGGGCTCTCAAGAATGCATAATTTCCCATAAGAAAAGAAAAATTCTTCTACTTAGGCTCTCAGAAAAAGCTCTAAATCACAAACAAAACTATGAGATATCATCTCACCCCAGGAAGAATAGCAAAATTTAACAGAACAGCAAGCAATAAATGTTGGCGAAGTTGTGGGAAAATTGGAACCCATATTCACTGTTGGTGGAAGTGTAAAATGGTGCAACCACTATGGAACACTGTATGGCGCTTTCTCAAAAAGTTGCAAATAGAGATACCATCTGACCCAGCAAGTCCACTATTAGGAATTTACCCTACAGAAACAATAACTGCCATCCAAGCAGATATATGCACACCCATGTTTATTGCAGCTTTGTTCACAATATCAAGGAGTTGGAAACAACGTAAGTGCCCATCAACAAACGAATGGATAGAGAAGCTGTGGTATATTCACAATGGACTACTACACTGCATTGAAAAACAGGGAACTCATGAAATATTATTCAAAATGGATGACCCTGGAAGACATTATCCTGAGTAGAAATAGTAAAAAAAGGACAAATACTGCATAGTGCCACTGTTGTAAAACAGGACTTACATTGGGGAAGGGTGAGACTGAGAAAGATGGGATAAATAATGTATACTGTATTGAAACACATGAGGGAGAAAACTGTTTAAAAGGACTATGTGATTAGGTATTATTTTCATGACAGGAGTCCAGAACAAAGGCTGCATAGTGGAGTGGACCTGGGGGGAGGGACTGTAAAACAATGAAAGAATTTTTCCTTACTTTTCAAAGAGAAGAGTGTACTGGGGGTGAGGGGGCAGCATGGAGAAAAGTTCAACAATGAATGAATAGAAATCCCAAAGTCTCTATAAATTTTCATTAAAATTAATAACAATAATAAACTTACATATATGTGTGTGTGTATGTGTGCATGTGTGTATGTATATATGTATATATATTTTTTTAAAAAGGTTATATGAATGGGTATTCTTGTCATTACAGAAGTCCAGAGTGAAGGCTGCATAGTGGAGTGGACTTGGTAGGGAGGGAATGCATAACAATGGAAGAGTTTTTCTTTCTTTTCAAGAAGAGCAAATTTGGGAGGTGGGGGGAGGGAGAAAAGTGCAGCAATGAATGACTAGAAACCCTAAGTCTCATTAAAGTTAATTAAAAAAAATTTTTTTTAAAGATGTAAATCATACAAAAAATTTTAAAACAATACATTTATATGGAAAAAATTAAAACTTGGAGAAACAAAAATAACATATGAAAATTAAAAAAGTTTAAGAAACTTAATTATTTTAAAGAAGCTTGAAATTGCTCTAAACTTAGCTGTAAATATTATGAATCACAAGACGTAATCAGTTATAATAATAGTAGCATAGTATTGGCCCTTGATTTGATAGACAGATTAACAGAATATTAATGTTAGACAATATATAATAAAGGTGGTATATCAAACCATTACAGAGAAAGGTAGATTTTTAAAAATATGTTGCTAAAATAACCACAGAACTATCCACAGGGAAAAAAGTGGTTTTTCCAATTGATGTTAAGTTATACCACCAAAATTCACCTTAGACCAAATGACACAACAGTCAAATAAACAAATCAATTTATTAAACATGTTGAGAGAAAACATTTAATGTTTTTAAAATATAAACCTGGAGATAGAAAAGCCTTCCTAAGAGAAAGCTACAATGAGTAAAAAATAATCTACATAAACCCCTAAATTTCTGTCAAAAGACAGAAAACAACACAAAGAGTTGTTTATTACACAAAAAACTTCAAATGGATTAAGAGCTAATAAAAGAAAAAGACAAAGATTATACAATAGTCACAGAAAGCTAAATACAAATGATTTTTAAACAAGAGAAAAGCCACTCAACTTCATTCATTAAAACTACAAAGAGAGCTCTGGTGGCCTAGTGGCAAGAAGCTGTACTTCAATCCCAAAAGTATGCGGTTCGAATCCACCAGATTCTCTGCTGGAGAAGGAGAGGCAAACTCCTCCTGTGCCAGTTGGGTCAAATTTGACCGTACACTAAATTAAAAAAAAAAATTAATTTTTTTAAAAAAGTAAAACTATAATGATGTTCACTACCTCAAATGAGGAAAGGTCAAAGTTTGACTACCTAGGATTGGTGTGGGGAAAACAGATACGCCAATGCTGACAGGAAGATAAACTACAAGCGTTATCTCATTTTATGGTGGTTGAGTTTTTTTTGCAAGGAGCTCCAGGGGTACGTGCAGGTGGTACAGCACTGGTCTGTGTGTTGATGTACAGAGGTAACTCATGGTTGCTATGATGCTGAAGACTGTGACAGTGATGTGCCAGTCGTGGTAATGGGTATCCATGGTGGACAGTGCTGGCTGGAGCTTCCCGACTAAATCAAGCCTGGAAGCAGGAGCAGCATCCACTTCCTAAATGGCTTGCCTCCAGAAACTGTATGTACGAACAGTGCTCAGACTGTTTGTTCATAGAGTCGCTATGAGTCATCTATGACTCGACAGCATCAAACAACAACAACAACAACCAGGGGTACAGTGTGTTACATGTTGGACTGCTGACTGAAAGGTTGGTAAATGAAATCTACTAGCTATTCCATAGAACAATGGACCACCTCCTTCCAGAGAGGTTTGTGAAACCTTGGAACCCTGCTAGAAGGCCACCAGGAGTCAGAACTGACTAGCCAATAGCAGGCTTTTTTGGGTTCTGAATTTGCCTCACTGGGTTTTGCAAATATTGCTTTCCCTCCTTCACTCCTCCAAAATTAAAGGTTTGTGACAACCCTGTGTCAGCAAGCAAATCTATAGGCTCCATTTTTTTGACAGCATGCGTTCTCTTCATATTTCTATGTTACATTTTGGTAATTCTCTCAGTATTTCAGACTTTTTCACTAGGCTATTTATTGCAGACTTAATAGACTACAGGATAGTATAACTTTTATATGTATTGGGAAATATAAAACTGTTCATGTGACTCACTTTATTTTGATATTCACTTTACTATCTGGTTTGGAATTGAACCTGAACTGTCTCTGGGGTATATGACCTCTTTGGAGAAGCAATTTAGCAATTATCAGTCAAAATATAAACTTTTTTGCCTCAGAAATTCTACTCTTAGGAATTAGTTCTCCAAGCATATTCAAATATGGAAGTTAAAACACATGAGAAATGATTTCATAACAGGCATTTCTGTATCTTTCCCCCCCTTTTTTGTTGTGTACTGTCGAACAGAACCTGGCAGGTACAGGAGGAGACTGCCCCTCCTTATCCAGCAAAGCATCTGATGGATTTGAACCAGAGCTTTCAGGATTACAGCGAAGCTTCTTGCCACTAGGCTACCAGAGTTCCTTTCTCTGCATCTTTACTCTGACGATTACTAAGGAAAGACATCTGAAATTTGTTTCAAGAAGTTAAATGTCTGCCATCTTTAACACTAAGTTCATGTCTATTTACGATGTCACGGCCAAGGAAAATAGTTAATGGAACAAATTAAAATTAAAACAGCACCAAAACTGAAGTTCTTAAAATTAAAGTTGTTCTTTCTTTCCCTTCCTTTAATGCAATGAAGTCACTGATTCACTTATTTAAAACTTGAGTGCCAATTCTATCTAACGTTCATGTTTGAATTAAGGAAACATTTCATGTGAGGAACTATAACTTCAAACTCACCAAGGTAATAGATCCTGTCTGAATAAGGCCCATCTGGATCGTTCCTCTTCACAAACATAAAATCATGTGGTGCCTTAGCCATCATGTAACCATGATATTTTCTAGTATCAGCAAGCAACTTTTTAAGTTGACTCCATGAATATCGCTCAACATAAAACGGCTCCAATTTAGGCCGATCTTGTGATTCAATATTCTCCTCACACTCTGCAGTTTCAAAGACCTCAACTCCCAGCTGTTCTGTTTCCATTGCCGCTGCCATGTTGCATTTTCCTAGAAAAAGAAAAAACATGAAGCTGTTCACATGGATGCCTTCTCGAATATTAATCTAAATGATAGTCTGATGGAGGGAAAGATGTAATGAGAAAGAAACCTAGTAAGAAAAGCAGAGAAACTGTGTTCAGTTTAAAAATGAGATTTGTTTCAAAAAATTGAGGTCACATCTATTTCATAGTGACTACAAATCCTTTGGGAACTTTTATAAAAGAGTTTCCTTATGTATCTCTTGCCAAAATTCCTTTTTCTTTCCCACACTGGAAGGAAACAGGCCATATGCCAGTTGGCAGCTATGTTCCACCCAAGAGCATGTCAATCGTGACACTAAATGTGCCAAAGGAAGAAAGTGTTTCAGCATTTTAAAAAGTTAACATAAATGATAAACAAGGATTTTATCAACTAATAAGGGTAATCACTACCAATGAGAACAGTAATAAAATTATTATAAACTGTCTAATTGTAATAACTTTCCCTGGGTTGCTCAAGATAATAATAGACCCTTTGTTCAAAAAGAAACTTTGAAATATTACATTCTTTAGTCTTCTGCTCTTACCTAGAAATCATTACCTTAGGATCACTTAGGAACAATGTAAGGAAACCTAAGGAACTTTACATAGCAACTTAAAGTAACTTAGAAGACTACTATTACCTAATTTTTACTCTCATGATTAAATAAAAGGAGTGGAGTCATATCTTCAAGTGTCTATGATAACTGGAAGTAGCTGATGAAGAAAACATTGACTGTTTCTATAATCAACACTTCAATGTTTATTTAGATCTTATCTAATGTTTCTTCTCATTTAACAAGTCCCAAAGTGCATGTACTTTTCCTTTATTACAATTTTTAAATGTAATGTGAGGAATGCATCACAGACAATACCAAAAAAAGCTACCATATGCCAGTGTACAATATTCTCACAAACACTATTTCCGAACAACATGTGACATTATCAAAAGAAGCAAATTAAATTCTAGGAAGTTTGTTTTTTTTAACAATAATAAATGTCAAGACATATGGATTTGGGAGACAAAGTACATAGTTTTTATGTAACCAATTTCAGTTATTAACTACTTCTGGAATAATAACCAACACACAGCTTTCTATTTAGCTCATCTTTTCTATTATATAATTGTGAAGGCTCATGTGAAATGAGATCATGGTAAGAGGGAAACAAAGTTTTTAGCAGGTGTGGGCTGAGATTTATTTATCAGGTATGAATTATGGGCATGCAAAATTGCAAAATGAACTGAGCTATGTGGTCAAGATATTGTCTGTCTTCATACTACAATGAACTATCCTGCTACACAACAAAACAGTAACAAATGGCCAAAAGACCCCTTAGACAGTTACACAGGACACACAATTTGTAGTATTATTATAACTGAACATTCATCTTCAAATGCCTAAAATTCAAGCCCTCCCAACAATGCACCAAGTCATTTAGTGCAAGTGGTATTAAGCAAACTGACATTAAGTAGATTGCAGTAGTGGCAGTAGAAGGCAGTAGTAGCTAGTTACCTATCTAAAAGCAAGTGGAAGCATAATTTATAGATATTTTATTCATCTCTTCAATGAGATAGAAAAAGTAATCATCCACTTTAAAAGGATTGGAAGGAGACTCTAGATCAGCAAAAAAATAAAGAAAAACAAAGTAGGTGGCCTTACATTTCCAATCTAAAAAACAGCCAATGTAATAAAAAACAGCATGGTACAAGTACAGATACAAATCCATGAACAATGAAATAGGATTGAGAACCTAGAAATAAATTCATGCAACTATGAATATTTGATACTTGAAAAAGAAATTAAATGCATTAAATGGGGAAAAGATAGCTTTTCTACCAAGTGACGCTGGCAAAACTGAGTAACTAGTTAAAGAAAACAGAAATAAGACTCATACCGCATACTACATACAAAAGCTAATTAAATCAATGATACCTAAAACTATAAACATTTTCAAAGAGAAAAAACAGGGCAAAGTTAGGAGTCCTAATCTATGGTATATGGAGACTACTGAATATAAGCAAAAATGTATAATCAGCAAAGAATGAACCTGATGGTGGGACCTCCTAAAAATGAAATCCTTAGGTACATAAAATGACTTTTTCATGAGTAAAAGAGAAACAACAGACTGGGGAAAAATATTTAGTAAAGACATATCTGACAAGGGACTGATCTCTAAAATTCACAGAAAAATCTACTACCTCAACAAGAAAAAGTTAAACAACAAAAATAAAAAATGAGCAAAGGACATGAAATGACACTTGGAGTTCCACTATATTTCCTAAAGAAATAAGAGCTACGACACAGATAGCTTAAGTTCAATCATATATTTATTGCTGTATCATTTATGAAAGCACCGAATAAAATGACTCAAGTGTCCATCAACAGTCGGTATTATAGTATACTCACACTATGGAGTACTAGGCAATTTAACAACAAAAATTTGCAAACCACTACATATGAATCTCTTGAAGACATTATAATAAGTGGAATAAGTCACAAAACAGACTGCATGAAATAAGCAAAGGTTTACACTCAAAAATAATCCTTTTTGGATGGTTAAGAAAGATAAGGAAGAGGGAGAGAGCAAAAAATTAGTAAACAGGTAACAGTCAATGTTATGATAGGAAGGGAAAGGTAATATACAGTGAGAGAGGAATAAGCACAATACCACTAAAGATTGAGCAGACATTGAAATCCAGCAAATAGACAAGACAGGCAAGATGAAAATCCACTAATAGAAATGAGAATTTAGAGGAGAAGAAAGTGTGATTATATTGTGGGTATTGCATTTAATGTTATGAAACAAAATGTGTGTGAAAAACCAAACTGCTTTATAAACTTTCACTCGAATCATAATCTTTAAAGAGGGGAAAAAGGATATTTTATTGAAACAATAGAGGTTCCTTTTTCTCAGCTTTTTATTAAATTGGGAACTTCATTCCCAAACCATTACTCCCAACACAGGGCTAAGGAACACAACAGGGAAGTGGCTCAGCAGACTCCCCAAATCATACACCCTAACATCTTGAATCACAAGTTGACATTACTATCTCTCCTATGTAAAAGCTTTATCAGATTACATTTGAGACAAGTTCTCTGGTATCCCAAAACCATCCTAGCCTCCTGAACTCATTCTTTCCCTTTCTACACACAGACACACACAATGTGTGCATTTCAAAGGATACTCTACTACTCTGAAGGTTTATGGTAAATAATACAGATTCTATATTATCTTAGATAGACCTGTTACTGAAAATTATTTTAATAATTTACTCAAATATGTAACTGACTTAATTTCCAGATGCTCAAAGTACCTTCTATATAAGTAAATGCTCAAAATATGTGACTGCAGTTTTCTGATTTTAAAAACTAAACAAGGTCAACAGTGACTATGTATTTCACCACCCCATTTACTCATTTACTTAGTTACCTTCCTTGGTCCCTACCTGATTTTATTTTCATCTGCCAAGCTCTCTTCCACATTCAAACAAATCTCTGTCAAAGAACTAAACTTCAAGTATATAAGCCTCTGTTCATTCTGCTCTCTTCTCACAGGAGTGTTTCTTTTTATCACCATTCAATCCTGCCCGCAAGGATAATGACTTTATAAGGCTGTTGAGAAAAAATTTTAACAAAAGATATAAGGCTGTTATAATAATGATAATTATTATAAGCATAGCCGAAGAAGATCTAGAAAGTTCCAGAAAGCATTAAAGCACAGAAATACTATTTTTTGTATGGCTCAGTTATTTTACATCTGAAATTTTCATTATATTTTTAAGATTATGATATGTAGCCTGTTTACTCAATAGACTTCTTGACAATAGTACAAAGCTTGCTATCCAGCCATTACATGCAAAATTATATCTTTTAAAAAAGTATAAAAGACATACACTGGTGAGGTTACTCAGTGGCTACTGAAAATCTTCAAATATGTCAGAGAGATGAGTATGTCTATGTGCCTGTGCCTGTTCCTATCTTTTGCATAATCTTCTCATACTGGTTGAAGACAACCAGTCTTAGTGGAATAACCTGTAAGAATTCTAGAACAAGGGTTTTTGTTGTTGTTTTTAATAGAGCTAGCCATTTTCTGTGCAAGGGAACTATCTTGTATGTAAGAACTTAAGATTTTCACAAAACTGTGCTTTTGGTTTTAAATGTATTCTGGATTTTGGGTTTTTTTTAAAAAAAAAAACAACAACAAAACCCCACACATACTGTGATATTAACTGAAACAGGTTAACTATTACGGATAAGTAAGTGGTAAGCTTGTGAAAAACTTTCAGCTTGGTTCAAAAAAAAGAGGAGGGTCAGTGTTTGAGCCCACGATTTTTGTCCTCAGTTTTCATTCTGGACTTTTGTAGCACAAATAAGTGATGGAGATGTGCTGGAGAAGTGGCAAAGTGGTAAATGAAAGGAACTAAGTGTGAAGTTAAACTAGCATACACACATTCACATCTCCCAAACCGATTAAGATCCCAAGACATCTTCCTATAGCTATGAGACAGGCTTAGAAAATACGAAGAGCCACTTAAACGACATTCTTTTAAAAAAAAAAAAATACAAGGGGCCACACACTCATCCTTCAACACTTCAAAAGTCTCACTGAAACCTAGGTTTTTCACTCTTCAGGGCCCCCATCTAATGGGAACGTCATTATAACAGACGGAATAAAGTTCGGGAGAAAGCTGCGAAAGACAAACAAGAGGTGCAACAAAGAATGCTGAGCGGACAGAAAAAAGAATGAAGGAGAGGGGGAGCAGGAGCCACCCTGCAGCAGGCAGGCCAAATAGGATGGAAGTGGGACAGTGAGCAAGGGACTCGATCTAGACAGACGGAGGCAGAGAGCAGAGAGAACACCAGCTGGGAAGCTAGAAAAATCTAAATCCGATCTGTCAGCAGGACCCTAAGCAAATTCCTTCGCCTCTCTGGGCTGCCGTGTGCTTCTCGGTAAGTCTGGCTAATACCCGGCTCCCAATCGCAG